AAAATTAACATTGGCCTACCACTTGTACTAATAAAGTGCCAAGGGCCTAAGTGGTCACCTTAATATTTAAAAAAAATTATTATAAAAATGTTGGGTAGGTGGAATCAGATTGCGATTATATTCAATTTCTCACAACAAAATTGACTATTGATGTAATTTTCAGAGCCACTTTACTTTTACTTGTACTTGCTTCATCTTGTATTGATTCTGCTCGAGTTCAATGATTTCTATTTGTAGTTTATTATACTCATCTATATTCAGATCTCTATTTGGCTGATCTCTACATGACTTCTTTAGCAGTTGAACTAACCAAATATAGATTTGTTATCAAAGCAATTTAAAGTTATAGCTTCTTAGTTTTGAAACTACAATTTGCATTATGGCTAAAGCATGGCTTGAGCCTTAGTTCAAGCTGTGGTAGATAATTCTATACCAATACAGTATTGCAGTAGCATTTTAGTAAATATTATTATATAGCTTCAGTAACTAATTTTAAAGCAACATAGTATTTAAAGAAGCTATATGAGTATTAACAGATCTAAAAATCTTTAATAAGTTAAAATTAGTTTATAAAACTCTTTATCATATAATGTCAAGTTTTATACAATATTTTTTCTTATTTAATCAATTGAACATTATTAATCAATATATTAATTAATGAAATACTTTCAGCCAACTCTCCCTGACGATCATCTGAACCAGAATTTTCTACTGAAGAAAAACAAAAATCTTGTTGGAGAGTCGTGGCCTAACGTGTGGTTTGCTTAGAGGTTAACGGTTTTTCTCTTCCGGGACTTCTTTATAAGCTGTACGTTTGGCATGCAAGCCAAGAGCGTTGGTATACAAGATAACTAGCAGGAGGTGTGTGCCCTTGTATACAAAATCTTGGTAGAGAGACTAGAGTCTTTTCTATCAACAAAGCACTTAGGCTATTACTTCGAAATGAGGAACACAGAGAAAACAACAAGTACTTGTCTTTCTTCAAGCCGCACTCTTTTACTCGGCCAGGTGGTTCCTTTTTTTTTCTTCTACTCGCCCTCCTGTCGGTCTTTCAAAAATTTTGACAAAAAGTGGGGATTTGGCTTACCCCCTCCAAACGATCGGCATAGGTTATATAGTGTTTACATTCCCATATCTAGTTGACATAGTAGATGGCAATCACATGTCTGATAAGCAGACATGGTGCTACCGGTTTTGGCTCAGGGCCGCTGGAAACTGAAGAGTTAGCATGGGATGATGACAGTACCTGATTAGAAGAACCCGGACGAAGACTTCTGAAGATAGTAGGGTTGGAGAGGAATTAATAGTATAGGCAAAGCCTTATAATAGAGATATGTAGTATTGCTATAAGCATATAATTTTTATAC